ACTCAAGCTCAGGAGATTTGAAATGCAAATCACTGATGACTAAAAAATAAACTTGCTCTGTCTTTTTCAGACTCGAATCGCTCTAACAGGGCTCTTCCTCGTGCAGGATGTGACCAGTGTGGACTCATCTGTAACCAGACACACAACTACCACCTCACACTACTAGCCCTACAATTTGACCTAACAGGAGTGCACAGTCTTAACGTCAACTCAGTCAGGAAGCCTCACAGCCGTTAAACCTGGAGAGGGCTGGAGGCCTAACCTCCAGAAATCAAAAGACCACAGCCTGATACCCGAGTCGACGTGACCACGAAACAGTAAATTACACATAAACATCAGCACTAAGCAATAAAACATTCACATTAAGGCCCTCAGCAAGAACATTTGAATGCACGCAGTGTTGAACATTTTAAAACACCACCTCTGCGCCTGCAACTTTCTCCTCCTCATGCTGATGCGAGCGCAACGTTTCCGCGTTTATCGTCGGAACGGGCTCGCGACCATCAGTCAGGCTCCTCCGGCAGACAACCCGTCATCACCTGCAGCTCCAGACCAGCCCCCCGGCGGCCCCCAGCTCCGCCAGTCTGTTTTCGAGACGCGTCCGAGCAGGCCCCCCGCTGGGGGTCGGGGACGGCACGCCTCGCACCGCGCGCCGCCGCCCCGCAGGGGGAAACACAACCCAGCCCACCCGCGGGAACGAGAGGCGTGGGGCGACGCGGGCTGCCCAGACTTGCCCACAGCACAGCGGGGGCTCATGCCCACAGCACCTGTGCCACTTCGCCCACTCGCGCCAAGGCGGCTCTTTCCTGGGACTTCCTCTTGCTCTGAATCAGACGGGGGTGGGCGAAGACATGGTGGAATGCATCTTAAAAAAGCTCTTCTCTTCTCGCTGCACGAGCCAGCCCTCGTATCAGCCGCCACCTAATTGCGACCGCAGCGAGGTGTGACCGAGCGCCGCGCGGCCTCAACGGCTCTTCCTCCCGTCCGGGGCGCCGACGATGAGGAACAAGTTCCCTGCCGCCGGGCAGGAGGGGGTCGGGGCGCAGGTCCTCGCCTCGGCTCCTTTGCTGGGGTGGGAGGCAGCGGATCGGGGGAGTTTGCCGAGCCACTGACACACCAATCCAAAAAAGAAAAAACCCAAAACACAGCCCTGCTCCCTTTCTCTCGTCTCGGAAACACAGCCTGGAAATGCAAACCCCTCCCAGCGCAGGCAAATCGGCGTTTGGCTTCTGCATTGGGCCACCGTGCCCCGGCTGCAGGACATCCATCTGCAGGGCAGTGCTTAAAGCTGACAAGAGCACTCAAAGAGTCCATCACAGCCCAGACCTTCATGGAGTTACAGCAGCTGTATCATCATTAAGGCGGCCGAGTCAGATCAAGTCACTGCAGTGCCCATTGAATCTGAGGGGTCAATAGCTTTAAAACACCATATTGATTCAGCCCTTTAATGAAAACGTTTTGTCTCGGCATGTTAAATACAGAGCACACAGAGTGCACGGCCACCACAGTTTCAACTCTGCTGAGAAGTCGTACCTTTTTAATTGAGCAGTCACGAAAGGCTTAAAAGAATCATCAAGTTTTCAAAGGATATCATCATATTATTAGTCTTCAACCAGAGAATCTCATAGCAGACTAATCTGCTATTGACATTCTGAAGCCATCAGGTTGCTGGTACAGTACATATATAATTAGTGAAAAATTCAAGTGAACTTCAATGCCAACCAATCTTACGATGCACCTTTGAAGTCTCCGACCAAGCTCTGAAAAATGTGCTCTTCTCCCGAGTCGTGATTTTTAATTCACGAAGTGAAAAGCAAATACATTCATCAGTAACTTTTATAGAGCTTGGATACTTTAGTGGGTTTTTCTTTGAAATACACTCTTTAAAAATTGTTTGCCATTGCTGTGGTTGAAGATAGTGTAGTATCACCACTGGTGACGCTATTTTACGCTAAAAAGGTCCGATTTCAGCTGCGCACAGACACGACTGTCAGTACCAAGCACAATGCCTGGACAGCGCACTGAAACAAAGTTGGAGAGGGGAAAAAAAAACTACACATCTACTGTTTCATTAACAATTCTGATCTGCCTGTGGCAACACAAGTACAGGGGAGGGAACCTGATTCCACAATTGACTCTCCAAGAGAGCAGGGTATTTAAAAAGCAAGAACAGGAGACACCCACAGAGAAGTCCAGAACGAGCTTCCGAGCCGTGTTACTGAAGGGCCGGGCGGCTGCTTCTCGTTTGTATCTGTTCTCACGTTCCCCGCAGGGATGAGCCGGGCCAGTCCTGCCACTGGGAACCTCGTCCTACAGATGGTAATGAGTCATAAAACACACCGCCTCAACTGAAGGCTTTTCTGATCCTACATGTCCAGATGTAAGCCCAGCTCTTCCCACCAGAGGTTTCCCAAGAGGTTATTGCCTCAGTAGGAAAGTATGATGGCTTTATAACTGGCGCCTGCTCACACACAAGTTTGCAGCGTCCCGGGGCGTTCAGACAGCAGCACAGGCGCGTCAAAGCTTCGTCGCCACACGGGCCGAACGGAGACCACGGGCATACGGACTGGGCACGGTTACGTTCAGAGGTGCAAGTGAAGAAAAGAAGACTCTGGTCATTTGCTAAAAGGAAATTAATAATGGCTCCGGAAAAAAAAAACTTTTTCCTGATATGGCATCCAGCGAATCACGCCATAATGTCCCGGAGAACAAGCCGTTCTTCACATCTACAAGAGTCCAATGAAAACCTAACTGCTTGTAAGGGCTAAAAGGCTACATTAAACCTCCCATGTGCACCAGACACGAGGAGACCTTGGGCCTAGCTGACTACAGAAAACTAACGGCAGTGAAGGCAGAACGGAGTGGTCCAGGAAGACACCAACAAGATATGCTACTGGGCGCCTGGCCAAGAGCCTGAAGCAATGATTTCTTTCCGTGACCAAAACTGTACGAGAAGGAAACTATGAAACTTAGAAACATTCTGTGTTCTGTAGCTCGGGGAGTGAAAACCTACAACAGCAAAGATTTTTCTTATTCCTGTAACTGGAGACACTAGATTTTTTTTTTTTTTGCAGAGGTGACACAAGCTAACCAAGCTCCTACAAAGAAGAATGTGAACCAGGAAACACACCGAGCCAAATGAACAGTAAGCATACCGATACAGCACATTATCCCAAAGCAAAACCCATCCTCTCAGACGCTCAAATTTCACAACGGGCTGCAGTACTCAATAATCTACATACAATTCTGTATTTCTGTTTTGGCAACCAGCTGATGAACCAAGTCAGCGTCTCCTCTCGTTTGCCCGCTGACTCCTGACACTGATCGAGCAGCAAACTACGCTTGGGTGGAGTACAAGGAAGTACCACCATTCCCCCCACACCGACAGCAGCTTCTTCATCAGCGTCAACACAAACGCCAAGAATGGCATCAGTGGAGACTGCTTGGAAATGCATTTAAAACCGAGAGGAGGAGAAACTTCTGCACCCGTAGAGCTCCGGAAGTATTGAACCAGCTACCCAGCCATGTTACTGAAGCCGATACACGAGTGTCTTTCAATAAACAGCTGGAAGAATTCCTTGGATCAATTAACTACTAACTACCAAACTGGCTGGATGAGCCGATGGACAGAAACACTACAGTAACCTTGTCAGTAGTGTCTTAGCTTGTGGGGTGACAATACAGGAATGAAGGATTTAACAGTGTGCCTTTCCAGTACTCATGATCACCCAAAGAAAACACAGTCCGACTGCTGCCAATCAGGACCCCCATGAAGTTGGAGTTCTCCTAGAAATGTTTAATCTTTGCATTTACCTGAAATTATCTTCACTTATCATCTAGATTTTGAACCATTTTCTTTTCTGCAATTGAAAAAAAGACCTGTACTGATGGAGAAGATACCACTGACTGAGCACACTACTGAGCGCCCTTTCATTTTCTTCCTTTACTGGAAAGAAACAACTAAGAAACAAAACCAGAGAGACTGCAACCAGGAGATGATCCAAGACCTGTTCTTCTCCCGCTGTAGGGACTCCAAAGACACACAAACTGCAGCTCAAGGCCGAGAAACAAACCAATCCATTTAATCTGATCTGTCTGGAGCAAAAAAAAAAAAAACAAGACGTTCGCCAACACCTTCCATTCTCAGCCACCTGCGATGAGCCGAGTGAGGCTATCAAATGTTCCCCGGCAATTCATTAGGACAAGCAGAAACCTGACACACTGCGACTGAGCACCAGCCCGCTGTAAGTGGATCCACTCTCATCCAAGTGAGAGAGAGGAACAGGAGGAGGAAAACAACAAAAAACAGCCAGTTTCTGGGCCTGAATGCAGGCCTCTGTCTGCGCCGCGCTCGATGCGGGGATACCACCAGGCCGACCCCCCTGGGCGTCAGGAGAGCAATACAGTAATGACCACTAACCCTCTCCCTGTAGCGCTGTCCCTGTCATTATGCAGGGCCCCTGCAGCCCCCATTAGGAGCACGGGCACCTGGGGACACAGACAAGGGCGACGCAGCGAGCACAAGAGCCATGAGGGCAACGCTCCGCTGCCGCCCGCGTCAGGGGCAACGCGGGCGGGCTCCTGC